GAGACCGATAAAAAATAAGATGAAGAAATCTTGGAAGCAATTATCTAAGATTCTGTGAAAAACAATGACCACTTCTTTCATAGATTCCGAATTATTGGAATCCTTATAACCATATAGGCCAAAAGCTTCCGGACTGCAGAGAAAGAGAAGGTATATAACTACACCCCATTCTCAATGTTATAGGATCACTTCTATCATCGTATTGCCCAGTGGTTAGTCAAAATCTTGGAGCGAAAAGTAGGCAGGTCTCAATTCACAAATTTCGTAATTACTCTGATTTTGTCAACTTTATTCATAATGTTGATTATTTGGCAAAATTATGTTCTGTTTAGATTTTGTTACACTAGTTGAGACAACATGTTAAACACATGACCGTAATGACTATAATGGATCAAATGTTGAGATACTTAAGCATTATGTGATGGAGATGTTTCTAAGATGTACCTTGAACGTTTGGTTTTCTTTCGGTAATGCAATGTACAGACCAATATGCATTTTGCGGACAGTCTTCGTGTCGCTGGTAAAAATCACATACTTCAGCAGGGTGATCAACTAATTCCAGGTTTATAAGTAACACGTATAGGATACCTTCGTCATCTTCAATGAAGTGAATAATTTATAAGATATTGTATGTTACTTTAGTCAACGACATCCTTCATTACTGAAAACGAATGATCATTTCACTTTCACGAAATATCATTTTGATTATCTGAGATAGGTGTAGTTTAGTAGACATGTATTAGTAGTGGGTGATGATTGAAGGTTAAGTGAAAATTCGGACCGCTGTTAGATTCATTAATTAACAGTTCAACTGAGATATATCAGCAGATGTATTGAAAAACCGTCTAGTATGCTCACCAAGAAAGACTTTCTATGCTGCCAAACTCAGATTAACTTTCTCCACCCACTCAATGCTTCGATTATGCATTAGCTCTCTTGGCCACCTCGACGTGTGTTCACCACATCACCTACTCCTGTGGAGTAAAGTATATTGACCGTACTCAGCGTTCGCCTTACAAAAGTGCTTCCGAATATATATCAGCCTGGTTCCGTAAAAGAGGAAGGAAGACACTTAACAGCTCTATTTTCGAACATTTGATCGAGTATGACCATGCTGTAAATACACAAAACAACTTAAGTTTCATTTATAGTGTCCGTACAAGCCCCATGAAAGGCAAGCATCTGAAACTCCTTTAAAGTATGAAAGTTGTGTCAAGTATTATTTTGAAAAAGATTGATTGAGTGAAGAAATATATTTCTTTTCAATTAGATCTTCATCTTGGGCTCTACACTAATATATAGGTTTACAATTTAATCAGATTACCAATCAAGTGGTGTTTCGGAAATAATGATGTAAATAATCAATAGAGTTACTGAAATGGGAAGTATGAATATTGATAGAAACACCCACCCCCAGAATCTTTTCTTTTGCCTGCTAAGTAGTATATCATGTCTTCTCATACATGATATTCTTCTACCCTCATTATTCTGATCTCTCGTTATATTCACTAGTCTCTTGAAACATTTACAAGCAAATTGGATTGCTTTCACAACTGATTTTGTGTGTATAGAATCTATTTAAGTGCTGTGGTTTGAAGACTGTGAATGTGTCATCTGTATAGCCCAAACAATTCTTTGAAGCAGTGCTAGGTCTTTCAGGACCCAATCATTCCCAGCAAACCTTGTAAATGTCTGTAAAAATAGAAGACACTGTTAATTCTTTGTTTATTAACTCATTGACATATCTAGATGGATACAGAGGTTGATAACCAAAAAATTGTCTGTCAAATCGACACACAGGAATGAATTCGCATATATGGTGGACATCTAAAGAATTTAACTACCTTTATCACAAGGGAGAGTCGAGGAGAGAAACTATATCAACCATTTTTCAAAGTTGTATAGTTATCTTGCAACAATTGTGGGCAACAAATGTTTTGCGAAATCTTTCTGTTTCACTGTATGATATATCCTAACTGATGGACTAAATGGATTTACGACCTAAATGAGTTCCAGTTTCTTACTATTATATCGATAAAAAATGATTGTGAAAGTAACATTTTAAATATATTATAAGTAGTCATGAGTTCAAGCGTAAAACAAGGAAATTTGACAAAAATGTTCAGGATTGTGAGGGATGAAAGCAATTTACTATGCTGGATTGCAGCTTTAGAATTTTTTGCATAATAGGGTACCTAAGAATTATTTCATTCTCAGCTCAAACCATTTCACTTGTAGTAGTAGTTACATCCACTTGGCTGGGACACAATCAGTTTATAGTTTTGATGCTTCGCCTCCTGTTAGTATCAACCAAACTGATTGAAGCACGGTAATAATCAAAAATGACTGATTCACTTCAATCTTATTGCGCATCGGACTAATTGAGTTAGTATAGAGCTGTTAATGGTCAATAATACGTGTATGTTTTACAGTGTCAGCAGGTAGTTCTGTAGATGGAAAATTGAATTATTAAGGTGATAAAACGTAGTTAGTTTCTAAAGAGTGGTTAAGCTCATAAGGTTAGCATTTTACAGCGCGCTTAAAAGTCACTTTTCATTTTCAATATCCCTACTGACTGTTTGGAAATCATAAGTTACAATTTTCGTACGCTAAACTTTGACTGAATGGATTGGGCAGCTTTTATTCTCGGAATTTTTTCCTGTAAGAACTAAGGATAACCTAAGTAGTATAAGAATTTAGATAGCAAATAATTTTGTTGGTAATTATACATTGTGAATTAACAAAGTTGCTTCCCAAGACCGTGAAATAGTAGTATATAAAATACTGATGAACCTTTTAGCAATAAGACCATATTGAATTCACTAACGTCAGATTAAGGATGATGACTGAAAATAGAGAGGTGTGAAATGGCTATACCTCACATTTCCAAGACCAGTACTACTAATTTAGTGTCAAGTAAAGTCAAATATCTTATAAATGAAAGTTATATGCAGTGAATTCTGAAGTATATTACAGTTAACTAATTCGATTGACTTCAGATGTACTGCCAGCGAGATGAGAAGGCACTCACATGGATGAACATCTCTAGAATGACAATTATCCAACTAGTTGTAACATCTCATTCGGCATACATCAATTCTTATAACCAAATGATATGTATAAATGCAGTTGTTGATAAAGTTGTCAGGAAAGATTCTTTGTTTATTGAACTAGGTTTGTATTTACAATATTTGAGGGAAAAAAATTGTTAATATTATTATTATTTGTCCCTTGGGCTCCTACTGGAACATACGGCTTCAGTAGCACGTCTCCATTACACTCCCTTCTCTGACATCTTTTGAACCTGTCGCCAAGACAACCTACAACCTCTCATTTACTCCTCACACCATCTCCTCCATGTCAACCTCAACACCAAAGCCCAACTCGTCGATTCCCATCTGGGTTCAACTCAACACCCTGGTCTGGTGCGTCATGTCACCAGTCGACATTCTCAGTGTATGCACAATCCATCTCCACTTCCTTCCACTGCATATTTGTTGAGTGATAGCTTCCTGGTTGGTTCGTTGACAGACAGAACTCCTGTTGCTCATTCTTATTGTTCTGGCCATCTGAGCTCCAGTAACGAGTCAGTGTAGGTAGTTGTTGTTGATGAATGTCTGTAATTTGTTGGAAATCCCTGTCGTAACGAGCCAAGTCTCCGAACCATCACACAGAAGCACTGACTAGACGTTGGTGTTTAAAATGTGGATGTTGTTCATGCTTTGTGGTGACTGCAGAAGACCTCCACACTGGTTTCAGGCTAATGAATGCCTGTCTTGCCATCTCTCCGATCCTGACTGGTTTTGACATCCTCGTGTGTGCCTGTGCTGCCTAGATAGGTGAATGAGACTACTTTCTTCAAGTTTCTCCTGTTGATGGTGATTGGAGTTTGTTGTAGTTGTTGGTGATGGTGTTGTTGTTGGTGCGGTATCTTCATCACCTCTGTCTTCTCTACGTTCACATGTAGTCGTATCTCCGTTGCCCTGCCTTTTTTGTCAACCTGCTAGTTTTTGCCTGTAAGTTTGTGCGTGTGTGCCAAAAATGTCAGGCACATTAAAGCCTGATAAATCAAATCACTTTTAGAGACATCTGTGATAGTGACATCCATTGCAACAGTTTTCTTTCTTAACCTGCGATGCTTTGTTGAAAGTGGGAAATGCTAACCTTCATCTATTATCAAGTAAAAGGGAAAACTACTGTCCTTATTGTTTGTAACTGTCATTCAATTTTCAGAAAAGATAATTTCCTCTATCAGCTGAGGTCTTGGGAGTTTGTTGCGTTGAAACAGTAACTATAAGAACATATAGTACATGAATGATTAGATGTTCTACATTTTCACAATGCTTTAAGAATTTCGTCTCTCGTGAAATGCTGCATACAGGAAAGCATTCCGTTATATAATGACCGATTTAAAACACTGATAATTATGACTTATAGTGATATTGCAACATAGCTTTGGAATTTCATTTGAACAAACAGTATAAACTAATTTATATTATAAACATGATATCTGATAGCTCTTCTATGCAGGTGATATATAAATACGTACACATGTATGCATCCATGATTCCAACTAACGTTAATTTTTTGTTCACTTTTTAAGACGTATTGCTTGTCAACTATGCAGATAAAGATTGCTCTGGGCAATCTATGCCTCAAAATACCTCATTATGAGGTGGACTTTTTTAAAAAGAAAAATAGAAGGTAACGTGACCCAAGCAAATTATGATGCTATAACAGTCTACCTTTAATCTATATTTCTACTCATTTGTGCACTATTCTTTAAGCGAATCAAGTCTGTTCATCAAAGACATAAAACGTTCCTGTAGAAAAAAGAAAGAGATGAATAGCTTCATTCTGTTTGTGCACAACATAGAACATTTTTTGTTCAGTCACATGATACATTTTCATTTGTGCATTCACACTGCTGTATCATAGATGTGCTCTTAAATACTCAACAATCCACCCACTTTGAATTTGTGCGTAATATGTATGTATATATTCTATGGAGATAGTTTTCTCTTCATTGACTCTATTTTGCAGTAGATATTTGTAATTTATTTGTTTATCGGCACTAGAAAAACAAATGGTAGACCTACAGTTAAATCGTGAAGCTATTGCTGAGCATAATCGGTAAGTCGAATGCTAGCTGCAATGTACGGTCAAAGTTGTGTTGTTATTTAGGAAAATGTTTTAGGTTGAAGTAGTTTTATTTTAAAGCAATACATTATTCAGATCATGTTCATGAACATGTCATTCCTTCGTTTCTAACTAGATGGTAAAACAATACTAAGTGAAAGACTAAACTGTGCTGAGATGACTGAGAATATGATAAAATTTCAGTGTAGTAGATACTTAAAGTAAAAAGCTTCTATTGTCACAGTAAATGGTATTAAGGTAGCCTGCAAAATATCAAGCTATCTGAAGACTAGACAACAACTGGTTTGATTACTTTGCACATAGAATATATTGGCTCACAACTCAGCTTCTTTGAAATAAAACAATTCCAACTTTTCGTCCAGAAATCTAATCCGAAGGAAATAATCAAAATTTTATTCTGATATATACACCTATATAAGAGTTTAATATCGTGGAGGTCATCTCATTGTGAAATCTTGTTCAGGCTATGATTGTTATTAAACATGATTATTAGTAATATGTCGCATGAATATACAAAATATACCCAATGTCAACTTTTCACCTGGCCTCAAATAATTGTGAATCTATTCTGGTGAATCTTAATGAAAGTTTATATAATTTAGAAAACTCAGTTTGGAATGCCTTCAGAAAACTATTCACACTAATGTTGGGAGAGTCAACTGCTCGGCTAACTGGCAAAGACTACCAATATTGCAATATAACTTCAAGAACCACATCAAAGTTTTGAAGAATGCAAACGACAGATGCGTCATTAATCCACTATATTCACGGAATGCAAATGGATTGTTAAGGCTTCTGAACCACTATGTTTCCATCATTAAATGAATAACAACGCTTTTATACATGCCTTCAACATAAACAAATCACTTACAATGACTTTGCAGTCTGAGATGATGAGGTTAAGGATTACGTACTCAGAATTAGCAGTGGTAATCATCAGACTAAGGTACGTACTGTTCAACCCCAACTCATATACCTATTGGTTGTAACCTTGTGCGGATGGTCATCATTACAAGTTTTACTGACAAAGCATTTCAGGTCTGAAGGATTTTATCGTGAGAGTATTATCAGCATTAATTATTTAGTTTCGTTAATAAGCCTCATTTGATCTAAGCGAAATGTCTGTCCTTGATAAAATCTTTCAGTTGTATTGCTGATGTGCTCAAAACTAGACAAATTCATCAGTAATATTGTGTTGAGATCATTTAAACTGGCCTAGCAAAATTGACAAACTGAACCTCTTTGACAATCATCATGTCTGACTAAGTACTAAATTAGATTAACTTGACTGGTATCTAGAGAACAACTGATTTCATGATGTCCAGTCCTAAGTGCTAACAGAACTCGATTCATCATTTTGTGATATGGTCTTCAAGCCAGAAGACTGAGTATCTCAATACACTTTGATTGATGTTAGATGGTTGGAAGCAATCGGCAGAAAGCCATGGATCCAGGTTTTTGTGCTTGTTAATACTTGTCAGCTTGGCGTATGTGTAACGTAGAGGAAACTGATTTACCTTGTAAAGTTCAAATTCACTTCATCCAATGATACTATAGAGATGTTACCACTGAGCTATTCATGTCAAAAGCGACTTCAGGTGGAACTAGGCTAGGTACACTGGCTGTTCTTCCGTCCTTATCAATGAATTAAAATTTCAGTAATGGTGAGTGGTTAGTGTTCTTTCACTGTTGACAAACTCAGCCTTTGGGAAATTTATCAAGATGACTGCATTCATCTGTTACAAATTTTTGTATGAACAGCATTTTGCAACAGAAATTTTGATAAGACGGTGCACTTAAAGAACCAATAGTTAAAACTCTTATAGAAGAACAGATGATTAGTTTATCCATAGAAACCTGCTTTCCTGCTGTCATTCTTGATGACAACCTTGACTTTAGGCAGACCATATTTTGGGTTCCACAAGAAACCTCAGTAAAATTTCTAAACTGGATCTCATCTTGTCTTACCATTATCACCACAGGCCATAACATTTAAAAATACGCGATTTCACTCTCGGTATCACCAGGCAGCTTAAGTAGCTAGCCAGGATTTCCGTGTTCTGAATGGTTCAGCTTTTGAGCTGAAACCATCCAAGCGGATCACTGGTGAGCTTTATTTAAAATGAATAAAGTAGTTATTTAGTATTGATAAGGCCATAATCTGGATAGTGATCACTACTGATCAAATCAATTTATTGAAAACTATTCATTTCTGAGAGTAGTACATTTTGCTTACAAGAAATGATTTTGTTCTTGCACTTCCTAATGTGAAGCACAAATTTCATTATTCAAAGTTGGTAATTAAAGCTCATCAAGGTGTTGTCAACCGCTGCTTTAAAATTTTTCACTCACAAATTGAAGTGATTATAAAACCTTACTTGACAAGTAGTCTTTTTCTTTAGAATTAAGAACTCAACATTCAGTTTCAATTTTGTTTGTATTTTCATACTTTTAGATTACGCGCACTTCATGGATGTCCACCAATTACATACGATGAATCATTGGCCAGGGATGCACAAAAATGGGCTGAAAATCTTTCACGTATAAGGACACTGAAGCACAGTATCTCAGATTATTATGGCGAGAACTTAGCTTCAGCAATGTCTAGTAGTTTAGCAGAGATGAATGGTAGGTTTTAGAAATATTTTTAAAGCTCAGAAATGAATTCTAAAAGTTTATTAATTTTCGAAACTGGTTAGTCAGCTTTTCTGTAAATTCGATCACTATGGTTTGCCAGTTGAGCATTTTAGTACACTTCATGCTCCATAACTTTTTAGGCTTGTTCGCATATATATGGATCAAAATTAGCACTTTAATTATTCGTTTAGCCTGTGAATGAGACTGACAAAATACTAGTTTATGTTCTTAGTAGGCATTATCGTTTTCCTACCCACCGAGCCTTATTTCCCTTTATAAAAACAAACAATATTTATCAGTAATGTGAACCTCATAGACAAGTTAAACAGTTTATTATGAAATATCTAACAACGTTTCATAGTTACCCAAGGTATTAGGTAATGAATACCTTTACATAAAAAACTAGGGAGATAGCAAAATTAGCCACTAATCCTCGTTTTTTATTTGGTGGTTTCATTTCGCTTTCCATTACCAAAATTCTCAAACCACTCACGTACCGTTTATATAGTGTTACATTATCTATGAGAAAGAAGATGAAATTGACTGAACCACGGGAATAAAAAAAGGGTAGAACATTTACGCCTATTGAATGTAAATCATGACAGATGGATGTTTTTCGGCTAGAATTCAGTCTTTCGTCCTTACTAAGAATGCACTACTATTAATTTGAAAAATCAATTTATAGATAACTTAATAGAAAGTATTATGAATCCGTGAAACTAAACCTGATTTCAGGTTGAAAATATGTTCTTATAGTGAGATGCATTACCGATTAATTAACCCTCATAATGATCAGTCACTGGGCAACATCCAACTTCATGTTATCTAGTCTCTAGTGGTGATCTAATTCTACCAATCATTTTGCAGTGTTGTAGCCACGCTAGGTGACTTAGCATCACGAAACACTTTTGACTGATATTAGTCTAAATGATGTCCCATCTGAGATTCTAACCCACAACCCAAATACCTAATTGGTAACGTCTCTGATTGCAGCTTTGTGTGATGTAGGTTCAAATCTCGGTGGTGAAAAAATTTGCTTTTGCTGAAGTTGCAGATTCGCCTTGCTCACTAGTGACAAAAAGCACGACCCTACGGTCAAATCTTCCTGCCGATTAACCCTATCAAACAAACAGTGATTTATCTATCTCTATTATAGTTGTACTCAAACGCACAAGTTTTTAAACTTTTCATACTGAACAATTTTAAGGTATATCTACTAGTCAGGCTTAAAATAATTTGACTAACTCCACTTGTTCATTCCACTCTAATTTATAAAATGGGCAACATTGTTCTGATATGATCAGTTGTTGTGGCTAAGATAACACCTGGCTCTGTTAAAACCATGATATAATTGATTTTTAATAGATATTTTTCTAAATTAAGTATTGAGTGTTTTACTGGTATTGCTTGGATAAGATTTGTGTATAATAGGCATATCTGCATAAAGTATTCGGTTGGAGCTAAAGGACAGAAAATACAACAATAACTATTGCATTTTAAGTTTATATTGATTAGGGAAATTAATTATCGTTAAGCAGAGTAGTCAAATGTCATTTATATCGTCACAAGTGCATATCTTAGTGTGACGAGACTTCTAAAAAAAGATTAAATTTCGGAAGAGAAACGAACTAAGAGAAAGAGACTGTTCTTAGCAGTCACTGGATAACTTGTTAATAATTAGAAATTGAAGTATTATAAGATTCACTGAGAAGATTGAACCTAAGGCTTAGTGTAGACAAAAAATCTAAGAAAAATAAAATTGTGATGGTAAAATGAAATGAGTGAAGAGCTTGAGATGATCGAATGTGAACTCTAGTCTAGTTTCAACGATCTGATTGCAATTCATTCGATAAGGTTAAGTGTTTGACTCAATTTGTGTGTCAACTGTCGTGGAAGATTTCAAAGCACCCATGTTGTAACCTTATGATGTACAAAGCCTACACTGAAATTAGATATCTTTGGTTAGGTAAATTCTAAAAGTCTCAGTGAGAAAAACATCACTCACCGAAGTGCAGGTACATCCAGCTAACGAGTCCTAAACAGGGCAAAATGCATGTCCTGAATTCATCTGCTAGCCACAACCAAACAAATTACCATAATTAGCACTCAGACAATTTCAAAGCATCCACATAGGAGCCTTTACGCCAATAGAGGTCGAACGATTCGTTTCAATAAAAACAACGGAGCTTTGCAGTTATATCAATAAGTACTAATGAGATTTAAAAGCAATTTGAAGTTCTAATTGTCTTAAACTCTGATGACATATGACTTTATTTCTGATAACTTTTTTTAAATTTAATGCTACGTCTTTGATGTGCAAACTTTAGGGTAATTATATGAGTTTACTGATCATTGAAGATAAAAGGTAATATGTTGAAAATTCTCTATCATCAGATGACTTTGATGCATTCAACTTAGTATTCGCACGTTTGTTTTAACTTAGGTGCTGTGTGTTTGCAACATTTTAAAATCAATGAAATAATGATTGAGAATTAGATTAGTCTTAGAATTTTTCTTTTCTTTTTCAAGTTTTTTTTTATAAAACTAAGCAACAGACTAGAAAAGGGAAAAAAAATATTACGTTGTTATGCTTCCTTCTGATGCCTAGAGTTAGATGTGTTTCCCTGTTAGCTTCGTTTGTTTGATAAGTGGCATAATAACTTCTATCCACAATTATCGCTTTACTCATATGCTCTTCATTTACCTATCTAAATGAAACTTATATTATACAGAGAAAAATATGGACTGATATAACGTTCGATTCCTTACACCATGGTTATTCTCAGATGCTTTAACATTATCTACCTGACACTAGGCAAAAGTTAGCAACGGACAAATAACTTGGGTGTGGATATGTCCTAAAAGTACCTCACAACTCAGATTATTTAGAAGAAGACAAAACAACGTAATCTCAGTTAACTTTTTCATAGTAATGTGCGATTGTTTAGTAGATACTGAGCAATAATGTATTGTTTAAGTTTGTTACGCAATACGAAAGACTTTCTTTCTGAGCTGTGTGCTTAATTCATCACCTTTTACTACAGGACTGTATCTCTTAGGAAGAGACAGTTATGTGCGAGCGTTTCTAATGGACCACAATTAGTTGTCCATGTTACTTCAAACTTCCTCAGAAACGTACACATATTTTTCACCAGTGAATGACTCATGTCATTCCCTTAGCGGTTTATAATGACGATTACTGCCAACAGTTCAGTTTATAGGGGTCAGTAGTGACTTAGATACCCCAATGATGAAGTCTTTGTCTTCAGTACTAAGTGAAATGGGATTGAAGACTTTGAAGGAGTGTTGTTTTTCTCATGACTGCAGATACACCTACCTTATTGATGAGCATTAACAAGCATGGAACTTAAATCAAGAGGTTCTTCTAGATGGAATCGTAGCATATTGCCTCAATAGCAGGAAATGCCCATTTTAAAAAAAGTTTTCTTCAGCAGAGATGTTATAATAATAATTACTAGTAGAGGTTTCCGGGTAACGACGATATTTTTCCTCATCACCTGCTCTGTAACAACAAAAATCGTAACTTTGTATTGAATGCAGATAAAAGGAAATTAATAGTATCTAATTTGTTTAATTGAAATAAAAGGATTTTTGAATACTCCAGTGAATAGTTTAGTATTATTCATTTAAGACATGACCTACTATTTATGTTCAGAACTTTTTTCCTGCTATATTATTGTGAGATAAGTTTTCAGAAATTTGTCAAAATAGCTTCTTAGGACCGTTTTCTTGAACATATGTTCGAAAGAAGTATTACGTAACACAAAAAGGCAAACAGCTAGGAGATTTGAACTGTAGATTTTACAGTTTTGTATTAATCGGTTCAAATTACTGGATTTAGGTTTTATGCTTGAAAAGTTTCTATTTCTGAGGAATATAACAGCATCTCGAGGAATTTAGGTAGCTTCATTCAGAATGATGATGATTTCGGGCTTTTTTCGTATGACTGGATGAGTTTGTGTGGATTCATAGATTTACATTTAAACAATTAACTTTTCATTTTTTTGGAACTCTTCAAGTTCTTTTTTTTTTCATTTACGAGATTTCATATGAAATGCTTTTCATATATGTTTAACTTTAACATGAGCAGAGTAAAAAGCTCTAACTGTTTGAAAAAAAAATCAGTTTTAATCTTCAGTAAATTAGCTTTTGATAAAGTATGCTGCTTACTTGTTATTTTATCGCTGATCATTAGGAGTGCAAGCTACTCAAAGATGGTATGACGAAATTAAGTATCACAATTTTCAAGGACAATTCTCAAGTCAATCTGGTAAGTGATAATAATATTACTTTTTTAAAGTACTGATACTATATGCAGTTGAATACATTTTCCATTGAACCTTAATATAAAATCAGAATCCTTGATAATAAGTCAATTAATGGTTCATGTCATCAATGGCATATTGGTAGCTGTTGATAAGCGATGGTAACATAGATTTTTTAGTGCTTATCGAAGCCTACTGATAAAGTTTGTCAGAAGGTCACTAAACCATGTGATACAAGATGGTTGTAAATCAGTTTGGTACTAAAAGCAGGTTCCAATCTCCAATAAAACATAGATTTTAGCCTTTCAAAATTCACTTTTAGTTACGCCTCCCACTTAATTACTAAACAGTTTCGATTATATCACTCTCATGCTTCTTTCACTTCTGAGTTACCACAAAGAAATATCCAGTTTATATAAAATCACTGCTAAGTTGTACTACCGAATAAGAAAATCAGGTAGAGAATAAGCCACATTTGTATTTAATAATTCATATAATATTAAGTTTCGGGGTTTCCAGGGAAAGTGTGATTTCAAGCTGCTGTTCATCACAGACTGAAGTCCCAATGAGAAGTTATGACCTTTGAAGTCAGTCAAGTTGATAGTGAAGGGAATACTCACTGATGACATTGGGTAATAATCACGCTATACAAATATTCGTTGGAAGCAGAAAGATGCTGATCTGTAGTAATTTGCCATCCAAGTCATAGTGATCTACGCACAAAACAGCCGTTTCCCTCCTTTAGGGTCGAGCTGTTCAGAGATATGCCCGAAGAACATCAGGGTTGATATGACGTTGACAGTGCAATTTGTAAATCATTTGCATACTAGCCATCCCTTTTCAGCTCTACTGGTTCATGCACGTCAGCTAGGTAGATTCGGGTGATCTGAACTAATTCGGCTCTATGAGGTGAATTTGTTCTGGCATACAACTCATGAGCTGGGTGCCAGGTGAGTGAAACGGCAGTCCGGTGTTTAAATCACTCTGATCTGGATGGCAAAATACTAAAGATCGGCCCATTTGGTTTCTAACTACCCAAGTTACTCAACTGTAGTACTTTTCGCTAATGACAAATCTGCCATACGGAATCAGATGTGATTTAAGATTACTTTAACGTTATTCAAGACAATGTGGTTCGGATTATTTTATTGAAACATTTGAAATCAGACTAATTAGGTGTATAGTATCGTGATATAGATACATATTTTCACCTATAGCATTTAATGCAATGCTGTGTTGCCTGTAATAAACTTTGTACTGGGGTAAACATCAACATGAAACCGTCAAAATGCCGATTAGACAAATTCGAATCAGAAATTTTATGGCTACTTATATGAAATTTCACCACTTCACTTGAAATGGAAAACGTATAACAAAGAATAAGCACAATTCTTCAAATCAAATCACATTATACATCAAAGAAAAATGTTACTGAATGAATGCGAACATACATTTTATTAATATTAGTGTAAAACATGGACCCTATGGTAGAATTTAATTGCATATTAGATTTGTTTATTTGATTTATAACATACAGTGATTTAGTATTATTTACTTGATGACGTTTCGAGCATAAATTTATACTGCTCATAATCATATCAATGTTATCTGATTTTTGTAGTCCTGTCACCTCAGATTATTTGTTTTTATTGGTAGCAAAATTTTCTATATCTCCAGTATGGGTGTTGCATCATTCCTTTTAAACGTGTTGGGTGTTGATTCGATGAATAAGGATTCCGTAACCAATTTCTCTCTCCACCTAATTATATTGTTGAATTTAGTAAGAGTGGTTTTATTCCGCCCATCTTGTTACGTGGTTGCGTGTTAATCCACGTATTGCAAAAGTTCAATGTTCTTCTAGGTTACTGATCTTATTTCGGCCTGTCATTATATATTTAGCTAAATTCCTATGCTTCACTGTTCTGCTAACCGTGATCGGCTAGTTTAATCTATGGACTTGACCTCACAGTCATTTGGCAGATTGGATTATTTTGCTTAATCTTTCCATTGAATCCTTACGCCGACAAAGCCCATATCTGAGTGGGTTTGAAGGCTTAAATACCACCCTAATTCCAGCTTTGTTGAGGATCCTACATAAAGCTTCTGATGTACCTACCTTATAGGGGTAACACAATGTGTTGTCGTTATTATTCGCACTCGTGTTACTGTTATTATTTCGTTTTTTGTGTGTACGTACGAATTTCTTCAAAAAAGTACAGGAAAAGTATTAGCTACTAGTGCTTCCATTATGTGACTCAGTTCCTAGTTTAGGTCTTCACACTGACTAGTCAGTCTTCTAGCTCTGTCACTTAAATATTTGACTGAATCTGTATTAACTGACATTGGATGAGGTGACCTGAAGCTTAGATGCCTGTTGTAATGTGTCGGTTTTCTGTATACGGTAGTATCCAAACCACCGTCCATCCCTCATTTTGTCCTCCAATCCGACATCGACAAATCTCCTTGTTCACTTTCTGTTGTTATCTTTTAGCGAATAAATCATTCCTCTCAGTCACCCTAATTTTAATAGCTGCCATGAGCTATCACTTATCATTATTGTTATTTTCCGATTGAGTTCCTGCTTGAACATAGGGCATCAGTAGCGCATCTCCATTACATTCCCTTCTCTGACATCTTTTGAACCTGTCGCCAAGACAACCTACAACCTCTCATTTCCTCCTCACACCATCTCCTCCATGTCAACCTCAACACCAAAGCCCAACTCGTCGTTTCCCATCTGGGTTCAACTCAACACCCTGGTCTGGTGCGTCATGTCACCAGTCGACATTCTCAGTGTATGCACAATCCATCTCCACTTCCTTCCACTACATATTTGTTGAGTGATAGCTTCCTGGTTGGTTCGTTGACAGACAGAACTCCTTGTTGCTCATTCTTATTGTTCTGGCCATCTGAGCTCCAGTAACGAGTCAGTGTAGGTAGTTGTTGTTGATGAATGTCTGTAATTTGTTGGAAATCCCTGTCGTAACGAGCCAAGTCTCCGAACCATCACACAGAAGCACTGACTTGAAGTTGGTGTTTAAAATGTGGATGTTGTTCATGCTTTGTGGTGACTGCAGAAGACCTCCACACTGGTTTCAGGCTAATGAATACCTGTCTTGCTGTCTCTCGGATCCTGACTGGTTTTGACATCCTCGTGTGTGCCTGTGCTGCCTGTAGTTGAAACAGTGCTGCCTAGATAGGTGAATGAGACTACTTTCTTCAAGTTTCTCCTGTTGATGGTGATTGGAGTTTGTTGTTGTTGTTGTTGTTGGTGTTGTTGGTGCGGTATCTTCATCACCAGTTTGACAAGATAGCCCTTCCTCCAGTCAATAGGCAGGTACCTTTCCTTCCATCTAGACCTTCTGCAATAGTGGTGTTATCATGTCAGCTGTTGCCCCTGCATCTACTCTCATTGCTTCTGGTGGGATTTCTTCTAGTCCTGCTGCTTTCTTGCATTTCAGTATCCTTATGGCGCTCGGGACTTCCACTTCTGTTGGAGGATTTGTGTTCACTTGTAGTTCTGTGGCTGAGCTGTAGGTGATATTTCTGGACGAAGTGCAGGTGGGTGTCTATTCAAGAGCTTTTGCCTTTTGTCCCACCGTGCACTCTTCTTCACTTCTTTGTCCAGTGTTTTATATGTTGTGCTCAAATCTTCTCGTTATGCATCCTTGCACCAGTTTATCTTCTGCTTCACCATCCTCTTCTCCCTCCTCTATCAGCTTCCATGTTTCCATCGAGATTCTTTCCTTATCTTCTTTCTTCTTCCTTATGCAGGCTTTTTTTTCCATATAGCTTTCAAAGAGTTCCGGTGTTCATTCACACAGGTTTCTTGATGGATGTTGTTCGAAATACCTCATTTTGTTCTGATGGCTGCCGCTAAGATGTCTTTTTTAGTTTCGTCCCTCAGTTTCTGTTCTGGGTTTTGTACTTGAACTGTGCTCTATCACCAACTTCCTTGAAGGCTCTCAATTGGATGTGAAAGGTTCCTTGCACTAGATAGTGAGTGGTCTGAACCTACATCTGCTTCTCTTCTTCATCTCATCTTGTGTCAAGTAGGTTGCGTCTCCACTTTCTTCACATCGAGATAATGTCGATCTGATTTTTAGTGTAGTGTATCCTGGTGTCTAGTGAAATCCATGTCGCTCGCTTTGTGGATATCCTTGTGCTTGAACACAGTGCCTCACCTCCAATCACCAAATCGTTGAATGCACAAAATTCTGCAACGATTCTCCATTCTCGTTCATGTCGCCAAGCGCCTCTTGACCCATGACTAGTTCTCTTCGTGTGTTGTCCCCTCCCAGTTTGGCATTCATTTCACCTTACCCATTAGAATTTGGGTGTCACCAACTGGGGTGGAATCTTGTCCAGTGTTGATTGCAGTTGTCTGTAGAATTCTTCCTTCTTCTCTTCATCTGCATCATTGGTTAGTGCGTGAAGTAGGATTGCGTGACTATGACTTTTCTTCCTTTTGAGTTGACTGTTGGTGTCATGATCGTGTGGGGGGAGATTAGTTCCCATTGCATGAGAGCCTTCGATGCTGTTGGAGACATCATGATAGCCACTCCACAGTTGAGTGTGCTCGTGGTTGTTGTCTGGGTGACCGGAGTACATTACTGACTCTGCAGTTGACACTGGTTAGTCCACTTCCATTCCACCTGCTTTCGCTAATTTCTAGCACTTCATTGCCCTATCTTCTCATCTCTTTTGCAATCCAGGTAGCCTCGGTAGGTTCATACACAGTGCGGACATTCCGTGTCCCAATGTTTACTCTCACTTTCACCAAGGGAGAGGATAAACATCGACCGACTGGTTACGGAAGGCTTTCACCAACCGGGATCATTTTGCCTCTCCGATTCCAGCAAGGAATAATTTTGTTTTTATTTTTCATATTTTGTTTGTGGTTTGAAGTTTATTTAGCGATTGGATTGGTTTTCTGGGGTAGGGTTGCTAGCCCTATTCCCAACCTTTCCTCTTTACCTGGGCTTAGGACTGGCTATTAACTAGT